TATGTGTTCGAAAGTTTGTATTTAGGAGAGCGATCATACAATTAGGCGACATGTCTTTGTTGAGACAAATTTGTAATAATTTGGCTGATTGAAAGCAAGGTCATGCGCTGCAAGATCAATATTATATCCGAGTCTGGGCAAATTGAATCCTGTTATAGCCAGGTTCCTATTACTTACACTTATACAGAGAAAAAAACCCGGGATTTGAATTATCACTGTTATGTCGAAGTTCCTGTAATAACAGATTTTGTTATAAATGGACTGGACAATTTGTATTACTACTTTTCTAACAACGATTCAATTTCTCCAAGAACACAATCCGAATTGCTTAATGTGATGGGTATGTTCAGCAGTTTTAAGAATTTTACTGTACTGAGAACAGTCATACAACACATAAAATGAACTTTTAAAACATCTTCACCATAAACCAATCAATCTACCAAATGAAAGGACGAATTTGTCGTGAAAAAGTTTTGTCTTCCCTCCGCCTTCTCATTCTCCCCCCTTACCTTAACCCATAGCGTCCTACGCCCCTGATCTTATAGTACGTAATATCTACACCTTGCCTTCTGGGAAGAGGGCGAAAAATACAGACGGTCTGTGTGCAAGCTGTGCACTTTAAAGATCCCTTAGTGGTCCAAAATCGATAGAGTAGGTTTTTGCCGCCACCAGAGCAAAATTCCAAATTTCCTTCCTACTGAAAAATGTTTTATGTGTCCCCCGAGCTCATATGACCTGGTAGATTTGCGAGCCACGTAGAACACTTACGGAAAAAAATAGATGCTGAGAGTGAGAGAGAGAGAGAGAGAGAGAGAGAGAGAGAGAGAGAGAGAGAGAGAGAGAGAGAGAGAGAGATTCAGTATGACCAAACTAGGGCACAGTTCACCGACACAACGAAAGGTCTTGTCAGTCTGTTAGTGTTTGATCGCGTGTAACCCACAGCTTGCACTATATGCTTCCCGGGAAGCTGAGACGGGAAGCTGAGAATGTTTTATGTGTTCTAGTGGTGTCTGCTTGTGTCAAGGAGTTTACTTTTAATCTCCTTGGCTTGGGTAGTAATAGTAATAGTTGTTAAGTGCATAGAGTTTGCTTTAGACTACTTTAGAGCGTGGATATACGCTAGGCCGAATATTGATGCTATTCTTCTTCTTCTTCTTCTTCTTCTTCTTCTTCTTCTTCTTCTTCTTATTATTATTATTATT